CGTCAGTCCTCTGTCACCGTCCTCCGTCACCGCCCTCCCTCACAGTCCTCATCAATGCTAATGTGGAATAACTCACATTGCTATGCTAACAGTTTGACAACAAGCAAACGTCATTCATTACAAAAACTTCAGAGTTGACAATTACTAGGAAACAATTAAGTGGAACTAATTGTCAAGTGGATACTAATTTCCTGTAGACTTCCTTCCTTGATATTGTTATGCATAAGTGCCTTGTGGCGCTGCATATCTGGCAGAATCATAGGTCAAAATCACTAACCGTTGCCTCAGAAGAATTTAGTGTAACACTGGTTCAAACAATACTTCGGTCATCTTCGAAGAGGCTGGTGGGTTAGCCTAGTGGTTAAAGTGTTCGCTTGTCACGCCGAATACCAGGTTCGAATCCCAGGTTTGAATCCCCAGATGGCTACAATGGGTGGAGCCCATTTCTGGTGTCCCCTGCCATGATATTGCTGTAATATTACTAAAAGCAGCATAAAACTAAGCTCACTCACTCATCTTGGAAGGGGCCTGTGGGATAAAATGGTCACTCATATACTGATGACCTGGGTTCGATTACAAAGTATAAAGTATGCAGCACATTTTTGTTTCCTGTACACGGGTACAATGTTTGAAGCACACATTTGTTGCCTCCGGCAGTGATTTTGCTCCAATATTGCTAAAAGCAGTGTAAAACCATCCTTACACACTCATCTTGGAAGGAATGCTAGAACTAGTGCAGGTCTAAAATGTTTAAAAGTGTATGTAGATAAGAAAATCAACAAACATAATCAGAGATAATTTTGGATTCAAACCCATGAATGTGGTTTCCTGCATGAGTAGTGAGTGAATGAGTGAGTTTAGTTTTATGTCGCACTCAGCAATATTCCAGCTATATGGCGGCGGTCTGTAAATAATCGAGTCTGGACCAAACAATCCAGTGATCAACAGCATGAACATCGATCTGCACAATTAGGATACCATGACATGTGTCAACCAAGTGAGCGAGCCTGACCACCCGATCCCGTTAGTCGCCTCTTACGACAAGCATGAGTTACTGAAGATCAATTCTAACCCGGATCTTCACGGGTCCTGAATGAGTAAGGTCACCAATGCTTCATGGATAAATACTGTGCATTAGAAATATGTCCCATATCACCAAAACATGAATAAATTGTACCTAGAAGACAAAATACTTGTATGTCATCGTATCCCAGTTGAGTAGAACGATGCTCATGCTGTTGATCACTGGATTGTCTGGTCCAGACTTCGATTATTTACAGACAGCCACCATATAGCTGGAATATTGCTCACGTTATTGTGGCGTTAAACAACAAACAAACAAAAACTTGCTTGTCGATAATTGTCTAGCAATTCACTGCAGTCTCAATGTTTCAGGCAAGTTAACATATAAATATGAGTCCTGTAAGACTTAAGGGGTATGGCGAAGTCACAATCACCCATACTAGCAGGTTCCTGTGAAACACATGGAGACTAGTCCTCTTACGACACACTTGTGTATTCAGTGGATCAAACAGTAATCCTTTGTACATTCATTTCAATATTCATGGTTATTAGAAGCGAATATTTATTAATATTTTCATGAATCACCTACAGACGTATTTATCTGAAAAAAGTATTGTTTATTGTTTATTAATTTGTTTACATAAGCGTAGCAATGTTGTAGGGCATATATATGAAACGTAACACAAGATTACTGATACGCCATTAAATTCCATTCAGGGCCTAGATTTTTAAAACTCTCTTAGCTCTAAGATAGCTGTAAGTGCCATACCTTAACATTAACTTACGACTATCTTAGAGAGCTTCGAAAATCTACGCCTAGTACTCTAATGGTACTCGTAAGTTTTTCCAGTACGCCTATATTGAAAAAATAAGGAGTCCGTACTCCTGATGTTGAAAAATTATCTGGAGCCCTGTTTATGAATGTGTTTTTGATAAAACATCCGAATCTACTAGCATCACAACAGGTATCATAGAGATTGCTGTCAGCAGGACCGAAGTGTCTATCTAATCCCCATTGATTGTGGTGATAGGCCACCAAATGCCAACATCTGTTTAGCTGAGACATGTGTTACCATCTGCCTATAGTGGCATATGGTCTGTATCTCAACTCAACACTGTCACAAGCATCCTTCGTATGTCAGAATGTAGGAACTTCAAGCTGGTGCTGAGGATGTCAATTCCTGTTTAGATCCTCTGTAAAGTTCACTGCAATCTCTATGCATAAACATTTACATGGTGCCCTCATAGGGGTCATTTAGGGTCAGATGGGGTCAAGTAAGGTCTAAGTCAAGGTCAGACTGGTTTATGAAGGGCAAGTGAAAATGTTACAAGGTCAAGGACTTGCATTCTGTGATAAACTTTGGCATGTTTCAAAAATAATTATTTTTTTCAGCATTTTGACTCATATTGAGAAGGTATAAGCCATTCAATGATCAGTAGGTCTGGTTGTTGTTTAACGCCGCTCTCAGCAATGTTCCAGCTATATGGCGGTGTCTGTAAATAATTGAGTCAGGATGCAATGATCAACAAGTATGTTATACAAATGTATATATATCCTGGGTTAAAATTAGGGCTGCGCAATATAACCGGTTTACCGGTTCAGACATGAAAACGATACGTATTGCGATACGCTGATTGAAAACCGGTATTTTAACATGCATTCGGAAAACTTCGTAACACTCGGAAATGTTCGGATATTTCCTTGTTTCATTTGTGCCAAATGTTATTCACATTTCTATTTTATCATGATGAAAAGTTGTTATTAAAGCTTAATCAAGCATAGTGATTTTGCTGTGTTTTTGCTCTATAAATCAAGCATTAACTCGATTATAAGTAGCTTTTTGTTTAAAAATACTTCATGCAATATGTTGCAATATGTTGCAATACATAACGCAATACATGCTTTCGCATCGCAATATATCGCAATATGAAAATTCTCTGCCATACCAACCCCTAGTTAAAATGAACCAAAACTAACTGAAATGCGGTCCAAATATAATAATTCCTTCCTGTATTAGAGTGTCTTGGAAATGTCATGAAATCATTCCATCAAAGTGAATGGGTGCGCCTTGATTATTCCAGATCAATACAAGACACCCAAAAATTTAATCTTTTGACTTTTGTCAATAAAAATACACCTAAAGCAATCACCTTTCTCAATAAAACAGATAATTCTTTAAAACAAATTATCAGAAAAAAAACATGTCTTTGAAATATCAACCGTCTTTCCAATTGCTGAACCTACAAATTTTCGAATGATTACAAACCAACAATTTAAAACAAGGTCATGTTTACAAATTGTTTTTTCTCCAAAAAAATATCTGTTTCATATATCTGCTTCCAGTGCACTACAAGTAGAGTATCAACTCTGCCTGACATTCCATCTTGTAAATGATATCCGATATGGGCTGAAGGAATGTTAGAGCAACTCACAAAATATTTTTTTAAAAAGCCCCAAGTGTCAGATGAGCATAAAGAGTTCTTCCCCTTTGTAGACTGTGCGATTGTATTTGTTGCCTGTCATCCGTACTGTTCGGTACATATTGTGACTGATGGGCTTTGGCAACAACAGCCATTTGTCTACAATATCAGGTAACTTTCAACTTTTTCCTCACTGGGTTTTTAAGACATTTTAAGGTACTACTTTCTCCACAACTACTGTTGTCAGTGTATGTTCATGATGCAATCTTCACATGTAAGTTATAGCTGAAGTTTGGGTTTTTTAAGGTCAGGTGAAGCAAAATGGGTTTTAACGTAAGTTCAACCGAATTGCACTTACAATTGACTGTATGTGGGTGGTTGACTGTACTAGTCGGTTCTAATACCGGTACCTTTTCTGTATTTAACATGAAAATATATATCTTACTCAGTTTACTGACTCTGCAGTGAGCACTTCTTGTTATATACATGTAATGCTGAATAGGTGCCAGGTTAGGAAGTACCTTTTCATGTCTTTTGGTCTGAAGTGAGCGAGTTTGGGTTTTAAGCCGCTTTTAGCAATATTCCAGCGATATCATGGTGGGGGGACACCAGAAAAGGGCTTCACACATTGTACCCAGGTGGGGAATCGAACCCAGGTTTTCGTCGTGACGGCCAAACGCTTGTCCTTCATAAAATCAATTCATTATTCATGGTCACCACAATCGAATATTTACTAATAAGTTTAAGAGAATGTTCTCACTCTGAATTAGTTATTTATCAAAGTGAGATAGACAAAAAGGAACCTTGCCAAAATATCTTCAAAACTGCTTCTGAATGGTTTGGAATGGAATGCTTTTTGCAGATATTATATTATATTTTATCTTTTCTTATCTTACTGAATGTATCAGCATGTTGACATGGTTATAGTGATGTAAATTTTGATTTACAATACTCACGCTACTGCAAGGCACCATGTAAATAAGCAATGTGTAAAGACAAACCAGTGGTCGACATCGTGAGCACCAACATATGCCAGCAGGGTAAGATGAAACTCAAGTAGCATATCTAATCCTAATCTAGTTGTCACCGCTCAGAATCAATGCACAAGAGACCTATTTCAGATGGAAGTTGTACTAGCACACTAGTCCAGGTCAGTTTTGTTAAAGGAATTCTGGGGATAGGTAGCCTGGTGGTTAAAGCATTGGCATGTCACACCAAAGACCTGAGTTTGATTCCCCACATGGGTACAATGTGTGAAGCCCATTTCTAGTGTCCATCGACATGATATTGCTGGAATATTGCTAAACGTGTCGTCAAACTAAATTCTCTGTTATGTTTATGGAAACGATAATCCTTAGGGGAAGCAGAGTTTCATACATTTTGGGGGGTTTTGCTGTAATCTTTACTCAGGCTATTAGACGTTTCTGGTTAATTTTCCATCTGGGCCAGTTCTAACCCAGAATACGAAATGTTCTACAAATCCTATTAACAAAAACAAATATTTGTTCACATCAATTCCGTCCTACAAAAATAAGACAAACAATAAATCAGCTTACCTCATCGTTGTTGCTTCCCTTGAAATTGTGGACGGCCTTGACATGCTTCGGCATGCCCTCTGACATCTTGATGAACTTTGGCCTGATGGGTGGTGGTGGCGGCGGGGTGGGGTTGTAGTGGGCCACGCACTGTGGGAGAGGGATGATGGACTCTATTGGCTCGTAGTCATTCTCAACGCTGTCACGACACGCTTCCTCACAATGGCTGATCTGACTTCCTGTTCCGCTGCTTGCACTCGCATCTGCAGGGGAACCCGTGAGAGATGCGATAAAGTCATTTATTTCATTAACGATTTCAATATAGTCATCCGGGTATTCCGTGCTGTCCACCCGACTCATCTTGATCGCAAAACAATGGGTTTATTTTTCAAAAAGAAATTTGATCATTCACTGACTGAGAATGATGAACACAGCTTCACACAACTGCACCAGTTCAACCTTATACACTCAGAAAGGTTAAACTGTCAAAGGATGGCTTTTCATGAAGGATACACAACCCTTAATTATAAATGACACAAAATTGCTTCCAACCTAACAAGCCAGTCATGATATACCAATTGCATGTGGAAGGCAAGATAGCACTTTTAATAGCATCCTCGAAAACTCTCATCCGAAACCTGCTTCCTTGGAATCACATCCTCAACTACCAAACTGTCCAGCAGTTTGAAAACTGTGTCACAGAATTCCTGAATCAACTCGAATAACAAACTCTTCCTATATTCCTCTATCAGCTGTGAACATGTCTTCCTCAAAACATTCTCACGCACAAAACCATTTTAAAAACATCACAAAAAACAACACAAATTTGCAGCTGTTTCCAAAATTCAATCCAGGAAGGGACAACAGTTAAATTTCTTCAAAGTATCCAAGTCGGACATCCTATCCATTCACGTGGGCACTCAAGTTCCTCCTTCAAAGGTTTAAACCGAAACACATCCAGTGAGTCCAACCCTTATCCCGACTCCATCACCACACAGCCTCATCAACCATCGCCTCTGCCTCCACACTAACCCAACACACACTCACACTTCCTTGCTTGCCTAGTAGATATGAGAGCCTGGCTCTGATTGGCTGGGACAAGTTTATCACAGACAGTCACTCATGTAGGTTTAATTGAAGATTCTCATCCACAGATGCTGACAGTCTTACAGTCTAAAAATAACATCAGCAGAAAGGGAAAGACACCACCAGAACTAGCTGAGAACTGCAAGTGGGTTCCGTTCAGAGATCAGACACAAGGTAACAAACAGACTGCTTCAAACTTTACCATGGCTTTACTGTCAGACCCGACCTCAAAAGGTAAGAATTATAAATATAAGTGGATCAACATGAAAGTTTTAAGCATTTAATCTGACTGAGCTATTTCTAAATTTCTTAATATGTTATATATGAGTAGACTGGGATAGAGAACTTTGACAATGGGCCATTTTCAGGGTTATTAGCCATTTTCTGAATTTAGAATGGGCCACTGCCCTTGTATCAACAGTAAACTTCAAAATTTTAATGGGCCATTTTTTATTCTAATGTGCAAAATGGCCCATGGCCCCTGCCTTTCCCAATCCCTGGTAGAGTTTTAAAATTTTCCAACATTTTCAGAGGGAGCTAACTGATAAAACAAAGTTCTTCAACAAAAATGTGCAAAACATATTTTTAAAAAAAATGAACATGAAATTTGTCCGGTTCATACTCTAAATAATGCCATGTTAAGCAGAATACTCTTTTCATAAACACATACAAACACTCTGAAGGTTTACTTATCATGCTACTGAGAAGAATATATGGGTGTCTTTTGATTTACTTTTGTCAAATATATTTCTTCTGAATGAAGGCTTGAAAGAACAAATAAGTTTTCAAACTCTTTATAAATATCAAGTTTCTTGAACTATCATCTATTTTCATATCAGGTTTTTCACTAATTACAAAGATTCTGTCAAAAGCTACAAAACCTCCCTGATTACCTTGGTAACAGTTTCCCATTTGTTTCCATATAAAACAATTTATCAAGAATAATCTTTCAGATCTATAACCATTCCAACCCAAAACTTCTCCCTTTTTTTCTCAAAACATGAATATTTATCTAAATAAATCTTCAATGTCCAGATGAAAATTAAACTCAACAGACACTTTTCTCATTAACCATCTGGGGTCCTCATAATGATTGCTACATCTGTTAAGGAATGTTCCGATGAAGATATGCCTTTGAAATGAAAAATAGCTATCACTAAATCGACAAAACTTTAATGAACAGAAATTAGTGTTAACACAAAGCTTATCAAAATTCAGTTTTCGGAGCTATTTGAACAGCGGCAGTTCCGATGAAGATGGGAGGAATCCTGACTCAACATTAGTTCATCGTGCAATTCCCGTCGATAATGACAGCCTGAACTTTACAGGCTGAATGTTTTCACAGATCGAGTAGGATAACAATGAGGTGCAGGATGCAGGAGACAAATTTGAATATCTGATGCTTGCAGTCTCGTATGCATTGGCAGATTTGCATTTGGATGGTGGAATTCAGGATGCAGACTGGAATTGTTGGGATGCTTTCAAATTAGAAGCATCTGGTTTGTGTTTGGAATTTCCAGTAACTTATACTTGATAATATAAACATGATGCAAAGACCTCAGTGCTATTGTAGCTGCCAAATTCTAATAAATATATTTTTATTTATTCCAAATTGAAAAGTCATGGCTATAAATGCTATTAATGTGATGAAAACGAAATGTTTGGAAAATGAAAATAACCTGTTACCGTTAGCACTGAAGCATTATTGGATGTGAAGAATTCAAAATTAGTAAGGCACTAATTACAGTAGTTACAGTATTAGTACAGTATCAGTACAGTATCAGTACAGTATTCCACTCACTGTGAACGTTCTTATGTATTGATCTGTTTTTCTCTGTGTAACAGCTTTCATCACTGTCATGATTTTCAAATGGCTGATTCGCATTGAAAACAACATTTATTAAGACTCTTCCAGGATGATCAATATTTATATATATTGACTGACAGAAAATCTGTATATGTGGTACAGATTATTGTATTTCAACCTAACATACAAGTATAATCTGTAGATGCGGACTTGAAAAAGACTGATGAACCTTTCTGTAGCAAAATGTACAATTTCGTAAACATTGTCCACTTCACTGTCTAAGAGAATAACCCGAGTCTATCTATTTTCACTGACTGACTGAGTTTTAGTTTCTTCGCGTTGCTTTGACGAATAACGCTTTAAAGACTAGGCTACCCCATCGCCTCTATTTTCAATTGAAAGGAAACACAAGTGATTGCCCAGTTGTTAAAGTGTTCACTCATCATGGTAAGAACCTGAGTTTGATTCCCTTACATGAGTATAATGTGAAGCCAGGTCTGGTGTACCCACAGTGATATAGCTGCACAGTTACTAAAAGCAGCACAAAACCTTTCTCACGCTCAGTAACACACAGTACGGTCCTATAAGAGTGAGTGAGTGAGTGAGTTAAGTTTTACGGCGCACTCAGCAATATTCCAGCTATATGACAGTGGTCTGTAAATAATCGAGTCTGGACCAGACAATCCAGTGATCAACATCATGAGCATCGATCTGTGCAAATGGGAACCAATGACATAGTGTCAACCAAGTCAGCGAGCCTGACCACCCGATCCGGTTAGTCGCCTCTTACGACAAGCATGGGTTACTGAAGGTTCATTCTAACCCGGACCTTCACGAGTCGGTCCTATAAGAGAAAATATGAACTTATGAAATGAAAGTTGTCATGATACAAATCGCATCACTACCATATTATTGGTATACTATTCAATACAAGCACAGATGATTAGAGTGAGTGAGTGAGTTTGGTTTTACACCGCTTTTAGCAATATTCTGGCAATATCACGTTGGGATACTCTGAAAATGGACTTCACACACAGTACCCATGTGGGGAATAAACGACGGTCTTCATTGTAAGGAGCTTCCATAAGGCCTTAACAACTAAGGTACCCCCCACCCCCTCACTCTCAGTAACACATAGTAAGGTCCTATATGACAGAATATGAACTTATGAAATGAAAGTAGTCATGATACAAATTGTATCACTTCCATGTTATTAGGATACGTATTGTATAAGAGAATACTTTATTACCCAAGAAGCAATAATGTGTACATCAGAGGTATCACAGCCTTCCCCTATAATGACATCCTTATAACAGCCATAACTTCCATCAGTTCTCAATATGCACATGTTGTATGCATAAAGAATGGACTCTTTTGGGTCTAATATTACCTATTCTATCTCCATGTCCCTAGATGATAAATTATGTTAAATTCAGAATGATTTGTCAAGTTTAAACTGCCTCACCTCTATTAAATGTTGTTATGTGCTCCACTGTATGTTATTGTATTTTTTTATAGATATATTTTTAATTTAAAAAAATAAACATTTCTTGACTAAATGATATTTAATAAATAAATCCATTTTTCTAACATCAGAGATCACATGCTGTCAATCTAACTTCAACATAGGACAAACTGGACTAACACTTAGTCTCTGAATATATATAATTTTAATTGTAATAAATAAACCCATTTAAATTGAAAAGGAGCCCCAGTGAGATGGGAGTTTCAGAACCTAAGAAAATCTAGACTTGCTTCATTTAGGGCTTCAGCATTGCAGGGAGGGCTAGGCAGTAGGGAAAATAATGTGGTTCAGGGACTGTGAGTAGTGTGAGACAGACTACATTGCAGGGAGGGCTAGGCAGTAGGGAAAATAATGTGGTTCAGGGACTGTGAGACAGACTACATTGCAGGGAGGGCTGGGCAGTAGGGAAAATAATGTGGTTCAGGGACTGTGAGACAGACTACATTGCAGGGAGGGCTGGGCAGTAGGGAAATAATGTGGTTCAGGGACTGTGAGACAGACTACATTGCAGGGAGGGCTGGGCAGTAGGGAAAATAATGTGGTTCAGGGACTGTGAGACAGACTACATTGCAGGGAGGGCTGGGCAGTAGGGGAAATAATGTGGTTCAGGGACTGTGAGACAGACTACATTGCAGGGAGGGCTGGGCAGTAGGGAAAATAATGTGGTTCAGGGACTGTGAGACAGACTAGGGACAAAATTTGAACTTTCTCTGGATGCTTCAATCTCACAGGAAAAAGATGGCACCACATCGACTGATTCATGTTACAGACACTAATGTAATTCTATCCACAAACGTAGCTCTACAACAGCCCTGCCTACAGACAGCCTACTTCAGAACAAGCCA